CTTTATTTCTTTGCATGCCAATTTTTGTATTAGGCTTCAGTGTAGTATTCCAGTATTTCTTAAAGTAATAATTCCTTTCACCAAAAATGTTATTATAGCAATATAAATATGAGTAAAATATAAATCAAGAAAACTTTTTATTACTATTTTATTAGTAATTTATACTTCAAGAGTGAAATTTAGTCAAGAAATATACTTTAAAATGTGATGAGGTAGTGTAGTTTACAAGTGATAGTTTAGGGCTGTATATTTTATTTTTGTTAGTTTTTTTGCTTTAGCATAATTTGATAGGAGTAATGTCTGAAGTAATATCTCAGGGATAGATTAAAAACACAGTGAAGCTATTTTATTTCATGTAATCATAGAGAAGGGTCACAATAGTACTTTAAAGTAATAAAGAAGAATGTGTAAATATATTTGGGAAAATAACATTTCCTAAATAAGTATCAGACTTCTCCCTATAAGGTCACTTAATGCCAGCAAACTGAAAGGTCAAGAAAGAACTTGAACAGACAAGTAAGGCTTTCCCTCCCTCACTACGTTTTTCACTCTTAGATTGTGAATGTCAATTATCTCCATCAAGTCTTGCTGATAATGTCAGTTGTCAATCATTCACAAGGAGTGATGTGGTGAGCTTGTCAGACAGCAAAGGACCACTTGAGTGATAATAATAATGAGGGTATAGAAACCAGAAGGAAACTTCTGGTAAATTCTTCCTCACATTGGGAATTAAGATATGGAAAAAATAGGTTCCAATAGGATGTTCCTTTATGTGAATCCTAACTTAAACATTAATCTTTTAAACTTCTAACTTTAAAATGAATCCTTATGGCCCATGATTAAATCAGATCATTTCCAAACATGATTGATCAATAAAAACAGCTCTTGATGGCCCAACAGAAAAGCCTCTAAGTTCACATTCAAGGTCTGATTTGAAATGAGTTAAATATTTAAGCCAAATATATTGGGATATTTATCCACAGACTCCAGGCCACAGAATACCTAAACTACTCAGACGTTGTTTTATACATCCATGAAGAAAGTATAATTTTCATTTTTAGGCTTAACCAATTTCATATTATTGTTTTATTAGGTATTTACTCGTTAAAGTTAATTGAATATTTTATTTTATATTTTCAGTTCATTAGTTTACTGAATTTTATAATTTCTCAGATGCTTTTTTTTTTTTTTTTTGGTCGGTCATGGGGCTTGAACTTTGGGCAGGGGAGCTGTCCCTCAGCACTTCAGCTCAAGGCGAGCGCTCTACCACTTGAGCTACAGCGCCACTTCCGGTTTTCTGGTGGTTTATTGGAGATAGGAGTCTCACGGTCCTGCCCGGGCTGGCTTTGAACCGCGATCCTCAGATCTCAGCCTCCTGAGTAGCTAGGATTACAGGCGTGAGCCACCAGTGCCCGGCTCAGATATTCTTGTCTATAATAAAATGCCTTCTCTGTAGTTACAGTTTCTATCTAATTTTTTATCTACCTTCTCAACATAATCATAGTATTTGCAGTTAATTCATCCACTTAGTTCTGTATATCTCTCATCAATTAACATTATCATATCTTCAATTAATGATGATTGCATACCCTCTGGTCCAATAGTTTTGTTAGTTTTTCCGATTTAGCATCCTTTGCATATTTTGACTCTACTTTTATCAATGATATATTTTAAAATTTATGTTGTTTTGTGACAGACCCTTGAGTCTTTGCTGTAGAACAAACATATTCTAGTTAATATTTTTGACCTGACAAAGAGTAGAGTGTGTGCTTGAGTGAACAATTTCTAATTAAAATTGCTTGAGGTAATTTCTACCAATGTTAGATCAATAGAAAAGAAAGAGAAACAAAAACAGAGCTGGGTCAAGTGCCATAGATTCAGGGCCTGGGGGGAAACTTAGTTACTTGGAACTCTTGTGGAGGGACGCCCAGTAAATTGGATTCTCCATATTGATAGATAGATGCAGGAGTGTCTGATTGATGAATTGCTCAAGTGAAGAGAAAGAACCATTATTTTTTTATGGTTGAATATTAGCAGTAAGTAATCATAAATGAGCAATAAGGCAAGCCCTGCACTATCATCGGTACTTGAACAGATGGCCTATAGTTGCCTGGATATGGGACTGGTACTCTGAACAGTAGGATCATAGGAGAATGAAGGCTGGTTTATCCAGTATTCCAGGAAAAGATTAAAACTATAAGTCGATTAATTATTTTAAAAATAGCATGTTAAACAGTTTATAATAAATTTACTTATAAATTGGAATTAACATGTGCCCCTAATTACAGAATGAATAAAAATAGGAGCAGAAATTGTTTGTTTCTTAAATAATTTACATGGGTCCCAAATATGTGATGAAAGCTTTACAACGATATGTCACTTAACCTTCACTGCATCCTGTGAGACAGGTATAGTTTGGGTTATAATTTATAGACACCAAAATATGGCTATAAAATTTATTAAATACCTTGCCTGATTTCACATATTATTATAGGGTGGAGCTGAATTATTCATGAAAGCCATGATTTTCAATCCTTTACTGTATTTTACACAGGGAACATTACAGTAAATGGAAGTATTCGAGGCTCAGTCTCAGAAATTATTATTCAATAGGCCTGGTGTGCTGCCCAGAAATTTCAATGTGTAGTCTGACTTGAGAACCACTGAACAATCAAAGCCATTACTAAGAGCTTAGCAATGTCTGCCAGTTGTATCTTGCCAGTGCAAACAAAAAGTAATGGTTATACAGCTTTAAAGAATAGCTTAAAGATTTATATTACTTTTTCTATCCTGAGTGCATTGTCTTTACTAGTGTATTCCACATTTACCTCACTAATCCTGTTTACCCATTTATTGGCTATTGTCTCTGGTAAAGTTTCTACACATTGCCTGGGTGATATAGGAGTTTACGCTTTGCCTCTGTAAGAAAACCATGTTTATATAGACTATTACTGAGGTTTTGCTGCTCTTGTAAATCTTCTTTTAAGTTGATCTTCAATTATTGTGCTCTTTTTCCTATTTTGATCTGAGCTAGAGAACTAAGTGATATAACTTACATTATATTAAATGCCTTATTTTTATTAGTTTTAATAATTGATCACAAAATTGTCATGGAAAATATCCTTGTGGTTTGAGATACTTTTCTATGGTCAAAAATTTTTATAATACTAAAATTTGATCTATCTTGATATATTTTCCAACATAATCATTTATGCTCCCTCTGTTTCCAAATGAAGCAGAATTATTAAAATGAAATTCCACTGTATTAATAAGAAAGTAGATGAAAAATATAAATATGCAATCTGGAAAAAGAAGGGAAAGAAAAGAGAAATATAGTTAAAAGTGCCACCTACTCAATTAACACATGAAAAAAAGACAAATAATTGAATATATGACGTGGCAGCTACTTTTCCTCATAGGATTTTCACCTTGTAGATACAACTTATGTGTTTATTTCTTTTGCTTTTTTACAATATAAGAATCAAATTCAGCGCCTTCCACTAAGTAGAAAACAATAAATGTTAGTCAAAATAAACTCTTGGTGAATGAATGTGCTATTTTCAGTGTGTGATGGCATGTAATCTGTGAACAAGGCTATGGTGTGGAATTATACACTGTGCCACAAATTAGTTCAGCATTTCTTGAGAACAAGCTACCATGTTTTTTTTCAAATGATGTTTTGAATTATTTTCATATCTTAGTCTTTTAAGGAAATGATCAGTTATGTCTGGGATGAACATACAACTCTACATAGCATGAACAACAATAAGAGCTAAACCACTAAATATTACATAAAATAGTACATACTAATGTTAAAATAATTATTTTTCAGAACAGACTAAATGATGTGAAAAATGAAGTTACAGTTAAATGAAAATCGGAGCATAAATACCAACTGTTGAATCATTGAAAGAGAAAATGAGTTGAACAATTAAAATTAAGAATAATGAGTTAAACAATTAAAAAATAATAATGATTACATCTTGGTGGTGACACTAAGATTCTTTTAGTTCCTTATAATAGGAAATGCACAAAATGCACAGATATAATACTTTTTCATCAGAAAAATTATTTAGGAAAATGGATTTTTATCATTTTCCAGCTCTGTAGGTATTTACTATTCATTTACAAGGGCAAAAAGTGTCTATCTATTTGTTTAGTTTATTCGTGGGTTTCTCATGCCTACAATATCACTTAGGAGAAATTGATACTTATAAATGTGGTTTGAATGAATTACTGAGAACAAAACTGAATATATGCTTCTATTTCTCAAGGCACTTTTAAAGATTCACATGTTAGGCAATGAATCCACCCATTAGAAAGCATTGAACACTTATTCATAGTATGGCTTCTTTCCACTGAGGATAAGGTCCCTTTCTTGTGGAATTTGAATGGCATATGGAGTTTTCTTGGTAATCAACAAGTAGAAGTGGATTTTAATGTATGTGACTTAAAGGACTATGACAGGGCTCTTTTATCTTTAGTAAATACCTTTAAAATAAATATACCTTAGAAAATAGATATAACAAACAATAAACCAATGGAAATGATAGTAAATTTTTTAAAAAATAGAAGAAATGTTATTTAGCTTTTAAGTGTATCAGTCCCAGAAGACAAAAGAGGCGTCAGAATAATAGACAGTGTGTTGAAGTTACTGTTGGTGTAGAAAGTACATCGAAAATGTCAATTGACAAACTTGACTAAAAATAGTGCTATACTGGGCTCCACTGGAATTCATGAAAAGAATGTTCTCAAGTAAACTTTCACACATAGCATGCAGCTTAGAATTAAAGTTGGTTATGAAATGGCTTTGTCCCTCATTTGAATTTTAATCTTCCATGTATATTTTCTCAAATTAGGTAAAGTAAGATAAGAATTTAAGGTAACATTTATAGAAGAACATAGTAGTAATAGATATGATATAATTTAATATTAAACAATACCAATGTGTACAGTGTTACAGGTATTTAACACAGCTCTTGCTGTATTTTTTTCTCTAGGATTCAGAATTTCCCATAGATATGCAACCAAGTCTAGACGTGAATTTATGTAAAGAAAATCCCTGTCCTGCAAAATTTGACTACAAACTGAGTAACATTCTTAGACTTCATGAACTTCCAGTGAGCTGGTAAGATTTCTGTTGTTTTATTAGTGCTTTTGAGGTTTCATTCTTGTGCCAGTTGTGGTGCTCTTACACCTATTGATAGTTCAAGTTGTTTAGTGTTTCCAGTTCCTGCTTCAGCAGTGCAATAGCTATTGAACAACCTTAAATTAATTGGTTTAGTCACTTGGTGGCAGTACAGACTAAGAGCACTATTGTGTATTATTGTTCTGGCTCAAAATAATTTAGAAAAATCTCTTTGAAAGGCTTCTAGTATTATTTTAAAGATGAGATCTCAGAAATTGTCCATGTCATTTGGTTATTTGTCATTTGTTTACTTTTAGCACTATCTTATTTTCCTGTTAATGTATCCTGTTATTTTTGTAGACCATAGTTTGGTGAACTGTAATCATATTGGTTAAAGACAAAAACTTACCTGAGATTTAAATTCTTTGTTTGATGCATTTATGTTCATGAATGACTTATTATAAATCTCATAAATTCATCATATAATATTCAAATTTTTAGAGAAAATATTTCTGAGAAAACTTGTGCATATAAGTTCTTATAAATTTTACAGTGGGTTAATATTTCAGCAACTGGTCAGCTTGTATTGATATGCATGGATCGATCATTTTGCATATGTTGTTAGTGTCTTGTAGTAACAACTTGATATGGTAAACACTTATATTCTTGTATTTAGACACAGAAAGCAAAGTTCTTATATTTGTACAAATATAGGAAACAAATATTTGGTGGTCACTCTTGTACATAAGGACAGCTGATATCACAGACCAATTCTCGTATATACATACATTTTGCCTGTGATTAGTTTCTTTCTATTTCTTCCGTGATAATTCCTCTGTTCTTTCTTACTATGTATTTTCATTTTTGAACTGGCATAGTTTTAGTAAGGGATTTTTTTTATTCTGGCATATCTGTACAAGCACACAGTGCACCATGAACAAATTCATTCCACCATTCTTTTTTCTTCTCTTGTTTAAATATATTTGGTGGGTTACATTGTGCAGCTTTCATGTGTATACATAGAATGTCCTTTTATGCTATCACCTTTCTGTATCCCCTCCTTCCTAACCTCCTCTGAGCCCTTCCTTGATAGTCCCATTCATGTCCTATAATCATTACTATCATCATTATTGTCATCATCATCATCATTATAAACCTTACTGTTTGATTATTTCTTAGTAGCAAGAAGATTACCCATGATATGTAGTATTTAACATGCATGATCTTAGTTGTCATGATGAAAACCAGTATGTTAATGACTTTAAAAGGTCTGTAAAGGGAACCATAGAAATAATGTATGCACGCCTTAATTTTCTGCTTTGACTGAAAACAGGTATATGTGTGTCATTACACCAGTCTTTTGATGGTCATGACTGTTAAGTTCTGTTGATTGTAATCCCATACATTATTTCTTGCATAAATTATGTTTGCTCTACCATCTTCAATTTTAATTTGTGGTTTCTTTAAAAAATAAAATTCAGATACTCAGATGATGATCTCAGCTCTTTTCTCAGAAGTTTAGTTTTCATCAACAAAAATTCTGATTTTCGCCCAGCGCTGGTGGCTCATGCCTGTAATCCTAGGTACTCAGGAGGCTGAGATCCGAGGATCGCAGTTCAAAGCCAGCCCTGGCAGGAAAGATTCTTATCTCCAATTAACCACCAGAAAACCGGAAGTGGTGCTGTGGCACACGTGGTAGAGTGCTTGCCTTGAGCTGAAATGCTGAGGGACAGAGCCCAGGCCCAGAGTTCAAGCCCCATGACCGACCAAAAAAAAGTTTCTCAAATTCATATTTCCTCTCCATAATTAATACTTAATTACATCACAGTAGCAAACACAATAGCCTTACAAAGTAGTAGCTCATCACTTTGGCTCTTATAGCTGTGGTTTCCTAGGCCAGTCCAGCAATGAAGAAGAAAATACAGAGAAGAGAAACAAATGTTTAATGCCTCAGCCAAAGACAAAATCTGGATTCAGCTTAATTCATTTTCAGCCTCTGGAAAGACAGCTGTCCTGATAACTACCACTGCGATTCAGGGAGTAATTTCTCTGCCATAATCTTCACTAGTGAGCCCATTAGGAGAAAAGGGTCTAGCATTATTGGTCAGCCATTACAAAAAATGAATCTCTATTAGAAAAAATAGGCTCTAGTCTTGTAGGAATCACATTTTAAAGGACAATGGAATTGTGACTTTGGGACACACTCATTTACATATGCCATTTTTTTTTCATTTTGCCTATCTAATTTCTTTCCAGTTTGCATCATTATTTGCTTATACTACCATTTCTTATTTGTCCTGTGTCTGCCCTGCTTATTTTACCATGCCATTTCTTTCTTTTTTGTCTCATTCTATGATATTAATGTCAGCTGACTATAATATTAATTGCACATTCTAATAATCTCTATTCTTAGTTTTAATACTGGATTATATTCCCCATATATACAGATACACAGCATACTGTGTCTTAGTATATAATAAGTATCTAAGAAAAATAATTATTAATTCAATTCTATGCTGTTTTAGGGAAATTTTTTTTCAAATAGCTATGAATTCATTGATTTTTATCAAGCACCATCAGAGGAAAATATTTCTGCTGTGATATACGTTGCTTACTATTACAACTATAACAATAAGCTGAGTGCCAGTGGCTTATGCCTATAACTGTTGCTACTCAGGAAGCTGAGATCTCAAGACTGCAGTCCAAAACGAGTTTGGACCAGAAAGCTTGTAAGACTCTTATTTCCAATTGACTACCAAAAATGCTGCATGTGGTGCTGTAGCTCAAGTGGTAGAGTACTAGCCTTGAGCACGAAAGCTCAGGGACAGCTCCCAGGCCCTAGGTTAAAGACTTAGGCCTAGTACACACACACACACACACACACACACACACACACACACACACACAAATAATAATAGTAATAGAAATAATAATGAAAAAAATGTCAACAGTAATGTTTTACTGTAGAATTAAACCAAGATTCATTCCTCTGCTATAAGGACACTAATCTCAGACCTCTGTATTTTAGTAATTGTTATTCCTATTTTTCTCTTCTTGCTTTCTCTTCCTCTTTTACTCTTTTTTCCTTTTCTCTTTTTTCTCTTTCTCTCTCTGTCACTCATACATAATAACTCATTCACATACACAAACACACACATATACCTAAACATGAAGCTTAGACACTTTGATAATCATAAGGAATTTATAGCAGGTATGTTTAAGACAAGGACCAATAAATAGACCATAGATTATTTTAAAGAAAGATGCAAAAGAAATAATTGACTTTTGCACAGTACACCAATAATGTGTACCTGAATGACCTATGTTTTAAGCCAGAATCTTATATTTTTCTCTCAATAAACATGACCTAGGATAATTACTTTAAACTTAAATACTAAAATAACTAATTAGATCAAGTTGAATTATGAAAATTTCTAATTATGTCTTTTGTGGAAGAAATGGATTTACTAAAATGTATTTCACTAAGTTTTTTAGTAAGGTCATAAACAAATGCATGTTAAATTATGCTAATTTAAAAGTTCTTAATTTCTTTCTTTTATTTATCTATTTATTTGTTTATTTATTTATTGTTGGTCCTGGGCTTGAACTCAGGACCTGAGTGCTGTCCTTGTGCCTCTTTGTGCTCAAGGCTAGTGCTCTACCATTTGAGAACCACTTCATTTTCATTTTTATAGAGTCCAATTTTATAGGTTAAAGAGCCAGAAGGATTTTAAATTAGATAGGCTAAGAAAAATTTTAACTTCTGATTTAGGTAGATATCCTTTTACTATTTTATAGGGTGGCTCCCATTGGCCTAGAAAATTCCCTTCACAACTCCCATCGCTTTAAAGAGAAAAAAAAATTCCTTTCTTATCCTAACAACTCCAAACCAAACCCATGTATTTTCCCCATGCTCTGCTTTGAGCTCATGCTTTCTGTTCCCATTCTTCCCAGCAGGGCAGTTTCCTTCCTTCTCTCTCCTCTGAAATGGTCACTTCCCTTGTTGGCCACCTGTGATCACCCTCAGTTACAGTCAAGACACAGCTTGCTGACCATTGTGTGTTTCCTCTCTATTCCTGCTATTAGCACACCCGAATTTCTTGCTGAATCCCATGCTTAGACCTTCAGCATTTTCAAAGAGCTGCTCCTCTTGGGATGGATTCCTGATTAATAGATTACACCTCCACGCAGCTCACAGCTTCACCTTTTCACAAACTACACTTACTTAAACGGCCTCTTCCATTCTCCTATGTACTCTCCCTGTGGTGATATCCATCCCTTGACACCTCCTCCCAGCTAGACTGTTAGAAAAGCTCTGCTGAATTATCATGTCCAAAAAATAAGCTGGTGTATTTTCAGCAAACTCGTTCTTCTATTCTTTCTCACTCTTACAAAAGCACACCCTGTGTGAGCATATGCAAAACAAGTGCAGAGGTAATTTTTATTCCTTATTCTTTCACTCTGAAATTCCTGTCAATAGGTGTGTAATTACCATAAACTCATATGATTTTTGTAAAATTTACATCTCCGCCAAAGAAAAAAATACATTAGAAGGACAGTATGCATTAAATTTGGGATTATCAAATAGAAAGAATTTACAGTTACTTGAGTCTTCAAAAAATTCTCTTTAGAATGATAATGATTGCATGCAGATAATATACATGGAATCATTATTTATATGAAGTTCACAGGAAAATTCTATTCTTTTGTAGTTTAAAGATATATGGGTTTTATAATTTACTACCAAAACACTAACACATCTAGTTAACTTTCAGCAAATAATTCAGAAATGTTTATATCATTAACTTTTAAGAAAGGAGATGCACTTAAATTTACAGTAAAGATAAGGATTCATTTTAGTGAGCTATATACTTTTGAAGATGTGTTCCATGAATAAATACAATAATTAGCAGGCTCAGTTTTCATTTTATTTCAGATTGTGTTTAGTACTCTTGCATCTGTCTTTAATTTTAGACCAAATTTGATTATTCATTTTGGCT